GGGGGGGGGCAAGAGGGACAGGCAAGAAGTGTGAGATGATGGGTGGGATAAGAGATGAGAAGGCGGGGTGGGGGAGGCAGGGTGTGGGGGAAATATGGGAGACCAGAGAGGGGGAGACCAGGGAGCAGGGATAGAGGGGCTCACCAAGGAGCGGGCAACAGGCCAGACCAGGCAAGGAGAGAGAGAGAGAGGGGGGGGGAGATGTAAGAGGTTTAGAAACTGGGCCAAACAGGTAACGTTTTGAAATGGAGATAGAGAGAGACAGGGAGTGAAGGGAGACAGATGGAGCAGTCGTACAGAGGGAGAGAGCAAAGGGGCAGGGTGAGACACAGGTAAGATGGGGAGGTAGAAAGGAAGGGGAGACAGGAGAATGTGGCAGGGAGGTAGAAGAAAGAGAGAGAGAGACAGAGAGAGAGAGACAGAGAGAGAGAGACAGAGTGAGCCAAGGCAGCCCAGGAGAGAAAGAGAAGGGTGACAGAGAGAGAGGGGAGATGAGGGGAGAGCGAGCATGCAGGGGAAAGGTGGAGAGAGAGGGAAGTGGGAGAGAACGACAAAAAAGACTGGTGAATGGGAACAGAGGGGTGGTAGACAGCCTGGAGGTAACAGGAATAGAATGAAGATGAGGGGAGAGAGAACAGAGATGACCCAAGGGGAGTGAATGCAGCTGGAAGGAGAGAATGCAGACAGGAGAGGTGACAACTAGAGATGGAGGAGGAGGAGAGAGAGAGAAGGATAGTTTAGAGATGGTAGCAGAGGGATGAATGAGGGGTGTAGACAGAGGGGTAGATGGATGGGGGAGGATAGAGACATTAGAGTTATAAGGATGTACAACATAGAAACAGACCCTTCGGTCCAACTTGTCCATGCCAACCAGATATCCTAAATTAATCTAGTCCTAGTTATTAGCATTTGGCCCATATCCCTTAGCCTCAGTCTAATCAGCCTCTCCCTGTAGCTCAAACCCTCTAACCCCGGCAACATCCTTGTAAATCTCTTCTGAGCCCTTTCAAGTTTCACAACATCCTTCCAACAGCAGGGAGAACAGAATTGAATGCAGTATTGCCTAACCAATGTCCTGTACAGCCATAACATGACCCTCCCAACTCCTATACTCAATGCACTGACCAATAAAGGCATGCATACCAAATGCCTTCTTCACCGCCCTGTCTACCTGCAACTCCACTTTCAAGGAACTATGCACCTGCACCCCAAGGTCTCTTTGTTCAGCAACATTCCCCAGGACCTTACCATTAAGTGTATAAGACCTGCCCAGAATTACCTTTCAAAAATGCAGCGCCTCACATTTATCTAAATTAAACTCCATCTGCCACACCTCAGCCCACTGGCCCATCCGATCAAGGTCCCATTGTACTGAGATAACTCTTTTCGCTGTCCACTACAACTCCAATTTTGGCGTCATCTGCAAACTTACTAACGTTCGCATCTAAATCATTTATATGAATGACAAAAAAAAACACCAATCCTTGTGGCACACCGCTGGTCACAAGCCTCCAGTCTGAAAAGCAACCCTCCACCACCACCCTCTGTCTTTACCCTCGAGCCAATTCTGTATTCAAATGGCTAGTTCTCCCTGTATTCCACGTGATCTAACCTTGCTAACCAGTCTAACATGAGGAACCTTGTCGAACACCTTAATGAACTTCACATAGATCACATCAACCGCTCTGCCCTCAACAATCCTCTTCGTTACTTCTTCAAAAAAAAAACACAAACAAGTTAGTGGGACACAATTTCCCAAGCGCAAAGCCATGTTGACTACCCCTAATCAGTCCTTGCTTTTCCAAATACATGCAAGTCCTGTCCCTCAGGATTCCCGCCAACTTGCCCACCACCGCTGTCAGGCTCACGGGTCTATAGTGCCCTGGCTTTTCCTTGTCACCTTTCATAAATAGTGGCACCATCTTAGCCAACCTCCAGTCTTCTGGCACCTCACCTGTGGCTATCGCTGGTACAAATATCTCATCAAGGGGCCCAGCAATCACTTCCCTCACTTCCCACACAGTTCTAAGGTGCACCTGGTCAGCTCCTATGGTTTATCCACCTTTATGGTTTTTAAGATGTCCAGCACCTCCTCTGTAATATGGACATTGTTTAAGAAGTTACTATTTATTTCCCAAGTTCTCTACCTTCCATATCCTTCTCCACAGTAAACACTGATGCAAAATACTCATTCAGTATCTCCACCACCTCCTGTAGTTCCACACATAGGCAACCTTGTTGATCTTTAAGGAGCCCTCTTCTCTCACTTGTTACTCTTTTATCCTTAATGTAATTATAAAATTGTTCTGGATTCTCCTTAACCCTATTTGCCAAAGCTATCTCATGTCCCCTTTTTGCCCTCCTGATTTCTCTCAAGTATACTCCTACTGCCTTTATACCCTCCGAGGAATTCACTTGATCCCCACTGTCTATACCTGACATATGCTTCCAGCATTTGGCCCCTATCCCTCTAAACCCTTCCTATCCTTGTACCCATCCAAATGCCTTTTAAATGTTGTAATTGTACCGGCCTCCACCACTCCCTCTGGCAGCTCATTCCATACACGCACCACCCTCTGCGTTAAAAAGTTGCCCCTTGAGTCCCTTTTAAATCTTTCCCCTCTCACCTTAAATCCTCTAGTTTTGGACTCCCCTACCCCAGGGAAGGAGGGAGGAGGGTACATGGAAGAAAGAAAGACTGAATAGAAAGCAGGCCTATGACAGCTTTGAAAGTCTGTTCACTGTTATAACATATGAATGGCCATCCCCTTTAACACTCAGTACTGCCATTCTGACTATCAGATGTCTACCAGCCCTGACATAGTGAAAGGGCTAAGGGAGTAACTAAGACTCCAATTTCGTCCTAGTATTTCTCCACTTTCCTTTCGAATTCTGGTCTATTTCTGGTCAAGCGCCTCATGTCCTCTGTTTTCACAAAATAAACCGTCTCCTTGTCTGCCTTCACACCCCCTCCCAGCAATGATCGAAAGTTGACACAAAAGCACAACACCAGGTGGTGTGCGAACTCCGAAATGAAAACAGAAAACGCTGCAAACGCTCAGCAATCCTGACAGCTTCTGCAGAGGAAGCCAGAAACAGCGTTAGCGCTTCTGGCAGCTCTGCGATCTCTCAAAACAGAAAAGAGCTGTGGATGCCTGGTGATCCGAAACTAACAGCAGAAATAGCTGCAGAAACTCAGCAGGTATGGCAGCGTCTGTGGAGAGAAGGCAGATTCAACATTTCAGGTCCAGTGGCCCCTCTTCAGAATGGTAGAGGAGAATACAGGAAGCGCGGTTAGTAAATTTGCAGATGGCGTTACAATGGACAATGAGGAAGGTTATCCAAGATTACAAAGAGATCTTGATCAATTGGGTCAATGGGCTGAGGCAATTTGAATAAATGCGAGGTACTGCATTTCTGTGAAACAAACGAGGGAAGGACTTATACAATTAATGGTAGGGCCTTTGTCGAACACAGACCAAGGAGCTCAGATACATACTTCCTTGAAAGTACTGTTACAGGTAGGGCGGTAAAGAAGGCGTTCAGCACATTTGCCTTCCTTGTCAAGAGTATAGGAGTTGAGACATCATGTTGAGGTTGTACAGGATGTTGGTGAGGTCACTTTTGCATTACTGTGTCCAGTTCTGGTCACCCTGCTATAGGAAGGACATTATTAAATTAAAGGGTGCAGAAAAGCTTTGCCAGGATGTTGCTGGGACTAGAGGGCTTGAGTTATAAGGATGGGCTGAAACTTTTTTCACTGGAGCATAGGAGGTTGAGGATTGACCTTATTGAGGTCTATAAAATCGTGAGGGGCATAGATAAGGTAAATAGAAAAGCTCAGCAGGTCTGGCAGCATCAGGGAAGAGAAATCAGAGTTAATGTTTCAGGTACGGTGACCCTTCCTCGGAACTGGTCACCAGACCCGGAACGCTAACTCTGATTTCTCTTCACAGGTGATGCCAGACCTGCTGAGCTTTTCCAGCAATTTCTGCTTTTGTTTTCTGATTTCCAGCATGCGCAGTTCTTTCAGTTTTTAACTAGCAAAGGTCTTTTCCCCTAGGGTGGGTGGGGGGGAGGAGTTCAAAACTCAGGGGCACATTTTTAAGGTGAGAGGGGAAAAAAGTTTAAAAGGGACCTGGGGGGCAACTTCTTCACGCAGAGAGTGGTTCGTGGGTGGAATGATCTGCCAGAGGAAGTGGTGGATGCAGGTACAGTTACAACATTCAAAAGACATTTGGACAGGTATGTGAATAGGAAAGGTTTGGAGGGATATGGGCCAAACACAGGGACTCGTTTAGTTTGGAAAACTTCGGTGAGTTGGACTGAAGGGTCTGTTTCCATGCTGTATGACTCCATGAATCCATAAGAAATGTTGACTCTGATTCCTCCCCCCACAGGTGCAGCCAGGCCTGTTATATTTCATCCTGGCCATCAGCTGTTGCTCAGTTTCTGTGGAGAGCCTGCTGAGTATTGCTCGGAAATCCAAACCCTTGAGCCATACACTCGCCGAACTCAACGTCATTGATTGGACACGGGATCTTGGTGTTCAAGTCACAAGGGGGCTAATACAATACTATCATTTATTACCCAAGAACTGAACATAAAAGTGCTTCAGTTCTGCAGTCCTACATTCTTGAGAACAATTCTCAAATACTGTGTACAGCTTTGGGTCTCCTTGTCTAAGGAAGGATCTCAACGCATTGGAGTTTACAAGAGTAAGTAGTGACGTGTCTGAAGTGCATAAGATCCAGCACAGCCTGGACAAGGTGAACGGAGAAAGGATGTTTCCTCTTGTGGGCGATTCCAGAATGAGGGAGCCGTGTTTTTAAAATTAGGGATTGCCCATTTAGGAGAGAGATGAATACTTTTTCTCTCTGAATGTTTCTGCCTCATGAGATGGTGGGGATGGGGGTAGCACTGAATATTTTTAAGACGGAGGTGGACAGACTCTCCTTAGGTTGAGGGGCGCAATCAAGGGTTATGAACAGGATCGCCGAGTTGGAAATGCAATCGGTGTTGAATGACAGAGCTGTCTCAAGGGGCCGAATGGCCTGCTGTTGCTCCAGTTTCGTATGTTCTTATTCCCAAGCAATCCCATCCCATTCTCTCACACCCGAACCGGACCAGCACACCCCACCCCCAAACCCCACCCCCCCTCACTGTCTGTGCTGAGAATCTCCACCCGCCCCCCCCCCGCCCCCAAATTGTTGTAAGTTCCACAACGCTGACCAATGGGATCTTTAACATTGCCCTGGAAAAGGTAGATTTGTTTTAAATGACAGCTGAGACTCCTCTCTCCAACCCATGACATCCCCCCCACCTGGAAGGGAAAGGGCAGCAAATCCACGGGAGCACGGGCGCTTGTGAATCCCCTCCCAGCCCACACCGTCCTGATTTGGGACGATGCCACCCTTCCTTCATTTGTCAGTGGATTAATACCCTGGAACAGCAGGCACTGTGGCTGTATCCTCATCCTGAGGGTGCTGGCAGCCTGGCTTTTAAACACAGCAGTCCACGTGGTGAATGTGCACCTGCAGACTAGTAGGTGCAAGGCATAGAGCTGTACAGCACGGAAACAGACCCTTCGGTCCAACCCATCCATGCCGACCAGATATCTTCAATTAATCTAGTCCCATTTGCCGGCATTTCCCTCTAAAACCTTCCTGTTAATATACTCATTCATAAGTCTTTTAATGTTGTAATTGTACCCACCTCTACCACTTCCTCTGGCAGCTCATCCCATACACGCACCACCCTCTGTGTGAAAAAGTTTCCCCTTAGGTCCCTTTTAAACCTTTCCCCTCTCACCTCTCCCCCATGCCCCCCTAGTTTTGGACTCCCCTACTCTGGGAAAAAGATCTTGGCTATTCACCCTATCCATGCCCCTCATGATTTTATAAACCTCTACAAGGTCACCCCTCAGCCTCCAGCGCTCCAGGGAAAATAACCCCAGCCCATTAGCTCAGGCCGTCCAACCCTGGCAAAATCCTTGTCAATCTTTTCTCCACCCTTTCATGTTTAACAACATCTTTCCTATAGCAGGAAGACCAGAATTAAACGCAGTATTCCAAAAGTGTCCTGTACAGCCGCAACATGACCCTCCCAACTCCTATACTCAATGTACTGACCAATAAAGGCAAGCGTACCAAACACCTTCTTCACCGCCCTGTCTACCCGCGACTCCACTTTCAAGGAACCAACAGCCTGCCCCTCTCCAAGGTCTCTCTGCTCGGCAACACTCCCTAGGACCCGACCATTAAGTGTACAGGTCCTGCCCTGATTCTTCAATGCTTCACACTGATCTCACATTAAACTCCATCTGCCATCCCTCGGCCCACATGAACTTGTCCAAGTCAGGGTGGTGCGGGGTGGAGGTGGGCGGTGGTGGGGATGGGGGGAGTGCGTTACTTGCAGGTGGTAGAGTTCCTACCTGCTTGCTGTCCTCGCCATTCTCGAGGATGGAGGTCTGGAAGGTGCAGTTGGAAGAAATTTGGGTGGGTTGCTGCAACGCATCTCACAGATGGTACACACAGCCACCAGTGGGTGCTGGTGATGGGTTCAGTGAACGGAGGAGGTGGGCGCCACTCCAACTGGCTCCTTGGTCCTCTTTTGAGTGCTGTGGGCATTGCGCTCGCCCTGGCAAGTCGGCTGCATACAGTTTCGGAGAGACAGGTTGTGCTTTCTCTCGAGGGAGTGCAACGTGGGTTCACTCAGCTGGTTTCCTGGGTTGAGGGTGGTGAGGAGAGACTGCGTCAGCGAGGTCCATCGCTGTAGACTGTTGAAGAGCGATGAGTGATTGAATGCAAGTATCAATGGGCTGGGTGTGGCACACACTACAGCAACAGTTCCCATCACCTGCAGAGTCCCAAACATTCCCTCTCTTAGTAAGGAGCTGACAATTTTCAACACGGAGAAACCTCAACCCTAGCCCTAACTCTAACCCTATACATAACCCTAACCCAAACGGTAACCCAAATCCTAATGCTAACCCTAACCCTAATCCTGATTCTAAACTTAAACCTAACCTGAATTCTAAACCTAATCCTAGCCCTAGGCCTAACCTTAACCCTAATGTTAACCCTAACCAGAACCCAAAATCCAAACCCTAACTGCAACCCTAACAATATCAGTCACATTAGAACTAGCCCTAGCCTTCGCAGGATTCTCGGAAGGTAAACTTGCAGGTTGAGTCAGTAGTCAGGAAGGCAAATGCAATGTTGGCATTTATTTTGAGAGGACTTGAATATAAAAGCACGAATGCACTACTTTAAAAGGCTCTGGTCAGGCCATATTTGGAGTATTGTGTGCAGTTTTGGGCCCCACATCTCAGGAAGGATGTACTGGCCCTGGAGCGAGTTCAGAGGAGGTTCATGAGAATGGTCCCAGGAATGGAAGCTTAACATATGAGGAACGTTTGAGGACTCTGGGACTATACTTATTGGAGATTAGATGGATGAGGGGGGATCTAATTGAAACTTACAGAATACTGAATGGCCTGGACAAAGTGGATGTTGGGAAGATGCTTCCATTGGTAGGAGAGACTAGGACCCGAGGGCACAGCCTTAGTGTAAAGGGAAGACCTTTTAGGACGGAGATAAGGAGAAACTTCTTCAGTCAGAGAGTGGTGAATCTATGGAATTCACTGCCACAGAAGGCTGTGGAGGCCAGATCATTAAGTACATTTAAGACTGAGATAGATAGGTCCTTGATTATCAAGGGGATCAAGGGTTACGGGGAGAAAGCGGGAGAATGGGGTTGAGGAACTTATCAGCCATGATTGAATGGCGGAGCAGACTTGATGGGCCGAATGGCCTAATTTCTGCTCCTACGTCTTATGGTCTTAAATTTATTCCCTCAAAGGGTTGCAAATCTTGGAATTCTCGAATCAGTGGCTCAATGCAGAGCTCGACAGATTTGAGAGGCGAAGGATATTAGCAGATAATGGTGATTAAAAACAAACTGGAAAACTGAAAGAACCTTGGAGGGGAGGCGAGGGTTAATGCTCGACCGTTAATCCAGACTATTAGCAATCTGGGGAGCGGGGTTCGAATCCCGCCATGGCAGATGGTGGAATCTGGATTTAATTAAAGATAAAAAAGTGGAATCAAGAGTCTAACGATGGCTGTGAAGCCAGTGTCAATTGTCTGGAAAAACCTACACTTCAGGGGAATGAAATCTGCCGTCCTTACCCGGTCTGGCCTACATGTAAATTTGGGTGACTCTTAACCACCCTCTGGGCAATTAGGGATGGGCAATAAATACCAGCCTCCTGTGAATGAAAAGTAAAAAAGAGATAGGACCAGAGAAGCTCAGCATCTGTGCAGAGGGAAGGTGAGTTAACATTTCGAGCGAATGAATCCAGTCATCTGAAACAAGACTGGCGCTGGGCTTCAAAACGGTATCGTGCCAGGTCTGCCGAGTTTCTCCAGGGTCTCCCCCAATGCTTGTAGGAGATCAACGCGCCAGGTGAGGGTCAGGCCGCAGAGGGTGAAGGGGGAACCGCGCGAGATGTGGGGGGGGGGGGGGGGGGGGGTGGGCCGAACGGCCTCAGCACTCACCGCCTCGTGGCCATCGTCCAGGTCCATGGTGGGCACAGGCTGCTGGGCACCCGCGCCACTCCTGCCTCGCTGAGCGCTCAACTCCAGCTGGCGAGCCTATTGGGAGACACAGGCAGAACAGTTGAGGCACAGGGGAAGTCACTTCCTGCTCTGGCAGCGTCCAACGCTTCGAGTCAGAGGAAGTGGCTCCACTCACCCGTTCAGAAGCATCGGGAAACAAAAAAGACACACAAGGCGGCACATCGGCCACAGCATGGGCTCAAAGATACGCCCCACCCTCCCAACACACACACGCACGCACACACACACACCTGGCCCCCCCGCCCATGCCACACTTTCACCTGCCCCGCTCAACCAAACTGTTAGAAAGTCTGAACGCCTCTCTGACAGCCTCTGCCCGCTCGCAAAGATGTTCCTGCGTGCAACTTCCGTCTGTCACAGGTTCCCCTCAAAACGCAGAGAGTAAACAGCCAGTAAAAGGCAAAGCAGAGCCGTTCTGGAACTGTCCAATGCATCATTTTAATATCCGCACCCACCTCCCCCACCCCAAAAGCACACGGCAGCGACCACAGTGCGGCTTTCGCAGGGACGCTGCACGCAGTCTAGAACGTAGTAATATTCTTCACGGATCTCACACTCATATCTATCTCTGCACCCTCCGCGCACAAACTGTGCGATATCCAGCCGTATTTCAGGCGCTGGTACTGCACAAAATCCACCCGCGTATCGCTCACACCACAAATGGATTTCAACATGTATCTCATTCTCACAACGACCGATGTCCACCCATATTTCACATACAAACCGGCCTGTACTCTCATGTATCTCACTCTTACACTGACTGACGTTCACCCGTAATCGCACTCCCATTTACAGATATTCACCTGTAATCGC